TATAGCATTTCTTTATGTCCACCAATTTTTTTTTTTTTTTTAATGGGGTTGGTAGATCTCCAAGTCCACGAATTCTAACTACCAAAGTCCTTCGAGAGAGATCCCCAGTATAATATATATATATATATATTAAGAGGACATTCTTATTATTTCTGCCTTATAAAAAATAGTAAACTCCATTAAATTACCTAAATTGATCTCTTCTCTAACAATTTAATAATTTTTAAAAAATAATTATTTAATAATTTATTGGCATTATAGGGCTTTGATGATATCAAAATTGAGTGATATTGTAGAATCTTAGATGAGAGGAAGAAGCGCTTCCTCTTGAGCTTCTTAAGAGAGAGGAGAGGGAGAGATCAGAAATTTGAAATCATGATAAGAGATCGGAAAACCTAAAGAGAAGAACAATAGCCAATAGAAAGGGAAAAGATCATCTAAAAAAATCAAACAGTGGAACCTAAACTCGCTGGAAGAGAGACGGGGGAGGCGGCTAGGGCTAAGCCCTAGCGGAGCCCCAAAACCATCGAGGAGGACATGAGCTACCTTATCACCTTATTGCAAGCTTATTGTGTCTATTTATAGACACTAAATGATACCTCAAAGGACTACACAAAATCTTAAACATAGTAACATGAAAGTAGAAGGAAGTTATGGTAAGTGGTGTTTGTCAATTAATTTCTTTGAAAGAAACAAAAAATGAAAGATAGTTTCAATAAAGAGATTTCATGAAAAAAAGGTAGGAAAGGAGGTTATGCCAACTAGATCTGTTTGATGTGCAGGTGAACAAAACTAGATAAAATGTGGGTTGTTGGATCAATGATGATGGCATTGAGTAGTTCTCCTTCTTTGCATAATCTGTTAGGAGTTTCAACAACTCAAAATCATCATTATCAGCTACCTCTTAGTTTTTTTTTTTTTTTTAAAAAAATTGAAATCAATTAGTTAAATAGATATCATAAACTGCGTTATCTCTATCATTAATTTATTGAAAATAAGTTTATAATTATCTCAAAATCAATTCTTAAATTTTGAATATTTTGATATCTGAAATTACATCAAATTAAACTCTTAAACAAGTCTGTTAATTTTGGTTCAATAATACAAATCAAAAGTAATCAATTATGATGATTTTGTTAATTTTTGCTGAAATTCAAAATTATGTGAAAGGTTCTTTCTTCAACAGTAAAAATATTATACTCATTTGATTTTCTTTTTTTAATTTGAAATATGCCAGAAAAATCTACTGTTTTGTGTGTTAATAATTAGTTGAAATGCTCTTCTAATCTTATGGTTTTATTTTCCAATTTCACAACTTCTGGAAGACATAATTTGAAAGTCTACTAAGGCTTTATTTTTTACAGCTTTCTATTTTCTGTTAGGAAACTGCTTTTTATATCATCTTTTAAAAAGTTATTTTCGCCACAACAACTCTATAATTAACTTTACAAAAAATTACAACCGTCCTAAAAAGAACCCTATCTCTATTGTAAATATCATCCTTGTTCTCTTATGCTATTCACCAAATTTTGTCTCCTTGTATATGTGGAAGTTTTGACTAGAAGAGTCCAACGAACTTTAGATCATTCAATTATATGATTATTAAAAATACTCAAAATTTGAATAATGATCTATGATGAAATGTGAATAATACCAGGGGTGTCAATTTCGGGTCACAGGTCGGGTTCGGGTTGAACCCGGAACTGACCCGAGTTCAAAGGGGTCGACCCTAACTCAACCCGTGTAGACATACGGGTTGGAAATCCGAACCCGGACCCCGACCCGGCGGGTTGCCGGGTTAACCCGACCCGACACGGTACTCGAAAAGCTTGGACGCGGTCGGGCTAGAGCTGGCGCACGCGGGAGCGAGCAGGCGGGTGCGTGGGCGAGGGCAGTGCGCGCGGGCGAGCGCGG